CACCACTTCCCTCCCCAGCTTCCATGCATTAGTCTGTAAAGGAGGGTAATAACTCTCTCCTAGCGTGGCCCTTGTGAAGAGAATAGATCTAAAGTCACTTCGAGATACCAAGAGGCCCCATACACTTGCAAGCTGTTATGAGCGTAACTGCTCCCCGCAGAGCTGGGTGAGAGAGCTAGTGACGTCCCTCAGTACCAAAGGGGCCTGCAGGATGAGTGAGAGGCTGCAGGGGGTAGCTGGGCCCTCCTGTACCTGGGGAGTGTTGACCGTGGAGGAGGCATTTGAATGAAGGTATCCTGGGGAGAAGGAAAGGAAAGAGAGTGGCCTGACTGCCCGGACAGGGTGCAACTGAGGCTCTCAGGAGGTCTCCTCCTGTCAAGACTCACCCATCCCTGGCCAGGGGCGGTGGCTCACACCTGTAATCCCAGAACTTTGGGAGGCTGAGGCAGGCGGATCACGAGGTCAGGAGATCGAGACCATCCTGGCCAACATGGTGAAACCCCGTCTCTACTAAAAATACACACACACACAAAAATTAGAAAGGCGTGGTGGCGCGCACCTGTAGTCCCAGCTACTCAGGAGGCTGAGGCAAGAGAATGGTGTGAACCCGGGAGGCGGAGCTTGCAGTGAGCTGAGATCCGGCCACTGTGCTCCAGCCTGGGCGACAGAGCGAGACTCCGTCTTAAAAAAAAAAAAAAAAAAAAAAGAAAGAAAATAGATCTGCTGAGACAACATGGTGCCATGCCCCGGAGCTGCTTCTGGCTGTCAGGGCTGGAGGCCTGGCTGCTTGCTGAGGCTGGAATAAGCTCAAAAAGAGACTGAGTCTTTACAGACTTCCTTCCATTGGAGCTGCAAAGGAATGAGCAGGGGGCCCAACCCTCCTCCTTTATTTTTATTTATTTATTTATTTTGGAGACATGGTTTCACTCTGTCACCCAGGCAGGAGTAACCTCCGCCTCCCAGGTTCAAGTGATTCTCCTTTCTCAGTCTCCCAAGTAACTGGGACTTCAGATGTGTGTCACCATTCCAGGCTAAGTTTTGTATTTTTAGTAGAGACAGGGTTTTACCATGTTGACCAGGCTGGTCTTGAATTCCTGGGCTCAAGTGATCCGCCCACCTTGGCCTCCGGAGTAGCTGGAACTACAAGCTTGCACCACCACATTCAGCTAATTTTTAAGTTTATTTGTAGAGATGAGGTCTCAGTATGTTGCCCAGGCTGATCTTGAACTCCTGGGCTCAAGTGATCCTCCCACCTTAGCCTCCCAAAGTGCTGGGATTACAGGTATGAGCCACCGCACCCAGACCCAACTCCCTTTTAAAGACAAGGAAATTGAGGCTTGCAAGACAGATGTGACAAAAACTAATAAAGGACCAGAAAGAATCACGTGTGAAAGGCGAGAAGTGCCGAATGCCTGTCCCAGCCCTGCCCTGAGCAGCCCTGTGCAGCCCTGGCCTCAGCCCTGGAACTCAGTGTCCACTCAGCTATACTGTATGGGGATGGACAGATGGCTGGGAATGGACCTTTCTGAGAACTTACCAGAGAGGTTAAGGGACTTGCCTGAGGTCACACAGAGAGTGAGACAGGGCCCAGAGGCCTCACCAGGGGTGTCCACGAGGCGTAGCGGAGGAGAGGACCATCTTCCCACTCAGGAGCCCTTGCCTATCTCCGGTTCCCTAATGCTGTCTGGGGTGCCTGTCCCTCCTCTGGTCTCTGGTGCCCCCGTGTGGCCTCAGTGAGCAGGACCCTTCCCACCTCCTGTGGGCTCCACCCCTGCCCCAACTCCTTAAGGAGGGCCCAGAATCTCTGAGGTGGGAGGGATCTGAACTCCTGCCCCCTCTCCCTTCCAGGAGACCAGAGGCAATGAAGGGGATCCCCAGAGTTTGGTTTGAACCCTGGCTCCCCATGCCAGCCTGGCTGATTTAGGCAACACACCCAGACTCTGTTTCCCCAAACATTTCTCAGCCCATGGGCCCTGCATAGCTACAGGGCGGGCTTCTGGGGAGATCACATGGGAGGCAGGGCGAGTCTGAGACCAGCTTTGGGCAACATAGAGACCCTAGCTCTAAAAAAAAATTAAAAATTAACCAGGCATGGTGGTGCAGGCCTGCAGTCCCAGCCACTTGGGGAGGCTGAGGTGGGAGGATCACTTGAGCCCAGTATGTTGAGGCTGCAGTGAGCTGAGATTGCACCACTGCACTCCAGCCTGGGTGACAGAGCAAGACCCTGTCTCAAAAGGCGGCTAGGCGTAGTGGCTCATGCCTGTAATCCCAGCACTTTGGGAGGCCGAAGTGGGCGGATCCCCTGAGGTCAGACCAGTTTGGCCAACATGGCAACATAGTGCAACCCTGTCTCTTTAAAATAAATAAATAAATAATCACATGAGGACCCTTTGTGGGGAAAAACACCCTGTTTGCTACAAACATTCATGGAACACCTCCTCCCTCAACCTGATCCTGCCCCCATCTCAGCGAGGTCTCAGTACAAGAGGAGAGGCAAACCCCTAAACAGGTCTTTTAATGAAATAACGCGTTGGCAAGTGACTCGAGCCTGTAATCCCAGCGCTTTGGGAGGCTGAGGCAGGCGGATCGCTTGAGTCCAGGAATTCAAGACCAGCCTGGTCAACATGGTAAAACTCCATCTCTACTAAAAATATAAAAATTAGCTGGGTGTGGTGGCACATGCCTGTAATCCCAGCTATTTGGGAGGCTGAGGCAGGAGACTTGCTTGAACCTGGGAGGCGGATGTTGCAGTGAGCTGAGATCATGCCACTGCACTTTGGCCTGGGTGACAGAGTGAGACTCCATCTCAAAAAACAAAACATTAGCCTGGCCTGGTGGTGTAAGCCTATAGTCTCAGCTACTCGGATGCTGAGGTGGGAGGATCACTTGAACCCACCAGGTTGAAGCTGTGGTGAGCCGCGATTGCACCACTGCACTCCAGCCTAGGGGACAGAGTGAGACTCTGTCTCAAAAAAGAGAAAGAAAGAAAGTGTTGTCTAGGCCGGTGTAGTTGCCCATGTCTGTAATCCCAGAACTCTGGGAGGCCAAGATGGGAGGATTGCTTGAGCTCAGGAATTCGAGACCAGCCTGGTCAATATATCAAGAACCCGTGTCTCCAAAAAGTAAAATAAAAATTAGCTGGGTGTGGTGGCATATGCCTGTAATCCCAGTTACTCAGAAGGCTGAGGCAGGAGCCTAAGAGGTCAAGGCTGCAGTGAGTTATGATTGCACCACTGCACTCCAGCCCGGTGACAGAGAAACACTGACTCAAAAAAAAAAAAAGAAAAAAAAAGTGTTGTCTGAAGCCACTGATATGTCCTACCCTTTGATCTCTCCTCATAGCGCCTGGTCCATCCCAGCTGGACACAGCTGGACAGAAATCAGAAATACCACCGGACAGAGCCAGCCCCTCCCCTCCCCAACTTCCTCCAGCCCATCTCAGACCTCTCCTTGCCCTTCACGTTCCAGGTCGGACCTCAGGCCCTGCTCCAACTGAAGCTTAAAACGCTTGTGGTATTGGTACCAGCCCAGCTCCACCTCCACCCCAGCGTTTAACTTGGGAGCCACCTTGTCCTCAGTCCCTCAATTCCCCTTCCTCCTTCCCAAGCCTCAGTGTGTCCATCTGCCAAATGGGCGTGACCATCCCTACCCCACCTTCCTGTCTCCCACGTCAATTCTAATGATACAATCAAAGTAAGACTCAGAAACATTTTTTTTTGAGGGGGGGGGCGATGGGTGCCAAGCGCGGGCAAACCCTAGAGAGAGCGAACTACAATTCCCATCCGGCTCCGGGGCCGCAGGCGTCCCTAGCCCCCTCTCCCTCAGCCAAGGGCAAGGCGGCTGCGGCCCAGGGGGCGAGAGAAGTTGCAGCGCTCCGCGCCTCGTGGGTTAGGGCCCAGCGAGGGCCCAGGTAGGGCTGGGTTTGGGGCCGCGCGGGTACCTGGGAGGTCTTTCCGACTCCGCGGAACCCCAACCGCGCCCCTCGCAGAAGTCAGTTGCTCTCCGCGGCCCGCCCCCGCACTTCCTGGCCGGGAGTTGGGCCAGCCCCGCGCGCCTCCGCCCCTACCTTCACCTCCAGCCGCGGCTCCCATTGGCCGGCGCGCACCTGCCCGTCCGTCTGGGGGCGGGGCGCGGCGCCCAGGTGAGGGCGCGCTGGCGGCGGCGGAGGAAGGTGACAGCGGGGAGGGCGGGAGAGTCGGGGGGAGGACGCGCGGCCAGAGCCTCTGACGGTTGGCGGACGGACGGCCCGACGGATGGGCATGCGGGCGGCCAGACTCTAGCCGAGGAGCAAGGCTCCGGCCGCAGCCATGGAGGCGCGGCTGCGCGCGCTGGAGCGGCTGGCGCCGGGCGAGGCCGGCGGCGGCCCGGGGCTCGACGGCCTTCTAGATCTGCTGCTGGCGCTGCACCACGAGCTCAGCAGCGGCCCCCTACGGCGGGAGCGCAGCGTGGCGCAGTTCCTGAGCTGGGGTGAGTGGCGGGGCGGCACGGAGCGGGGGCGGGCCTAGGGATATCGCGCCGAGACCCCCGCGCCCGCAGACTCTCCCGCAGGGATCCGCACCCCCACGGGCTTCCCTCGCAGACTCCCTGCAGTGGCCCTGACGCGTACCACCGGAACCCCGCGGCCCGCACACTCGCCTGCACACCTCACCCTCACTCCAGTTGTCACACACGCTCCTTCCCTCTCACAGACCCCGACACATGCACGCACACACGAACTTGTGCCCAGGTGTTGACCGCAGACGCATGTACCCAGTACACCGTCTAGAGTCCTGTACAGAATTCCTTGCTCACAGGCCACACCTGACGCAGGACACACACAGACCCTCATGCGTGTCACCCACTGACACACTGGCTGTCTGTTTCTCATTCCTCTCGGATGCATTGAGACACACAGCTCACGGAGAGACCCAGAGAGCGCTGCAGACCACCCCGACCGCACTGGCACTGCAGAACACACAGATCTGTAGGTATCGCACACTTGCAGACCTTCCGCCCAACCAACACACACACCCCCAGCTCCCTGCGTACAAGACCACTGCAGCATGGACTCAGGCTGCTGGCCAAGCTCCCTGGGGGCCGTGGCCCCAGGGCCGGGGAGGGGGGCCTGGCTGGAGATGCGTCTGTACCTTTCCTGGTACACTCATCTGAGTCATTGGGAGTGGCTGGCCCGGGGTGACCCTGAACCCAATGTGGGCACTGGCGCCAGCTGGAGGGTTCCCTGGTCACACCCTGCCGGGCCATGGGGAAAAGGCATGGGGCCTGGCCAGGGAGGGGTGAGGCAGGTGTTTGCCCAGTGGGCAACTAGCGTTCCTGGCGCTCCTGAGCTCTGGGCAGGCACAAGGCCTGGGGAAGAGGGGATGCTGCCACCCAGATGTGCCAGGGAGTTGTCCCCTAGCCCCAACCCTTCCATCCAGAGCAAGGCAGTCAGAAGGCCCCTGCCTCTGTGCCTGTCTCCCTGGGATGCCTTCATGCTATGCGTGTCTGCCTGTGTTGTTGTCACCCCCCATGACACCCACACACGTGTGTGTGTTTGCACACACATGTGTGCTCCTCCCTGACTGCCTCCAGCACCTCTGCCTGGGACCCTGGCATGGGGGCCGTCTGTTGACAATCTCCCGAGGTAACTCAAAGGGCCGTGACTCATTCCTCTCCTACTTGTCTCTACTTGTCCCTGCTCCTGCCGGGAGCCCCCTTGCCCTGTGGGAGGCCAGAGGATTAGGCAGCCTGTCCAGGGGCCTGGATCCTCCTGCCTGTGGGCCTAGGCTTTAGCGCTTGTCTGGCGGGTGGGTCCCTATGGTGCTGGCTTCAACTCCCACAGGGAGGCCCGGGGCTGCTCCTCCCCAGCTCCACACACAGACCTGGGAAAGAGACAATGCATTTCTGTAATGAGGTTTCCACCCCGCCCCCGCTGCGGGCTTCTGCCTGATAAACCTGTGGAGCAGCTCTCTGTCCCACCCACAGACCCGCCCAGCTGGCAGGGAGTTTACCTCCTGGCAGGGGGAAACTGAGGCAGGGCGCCAGACCACAGCTGCCCCCCATCCTGACTGATCACTCCTGCCTCCCTAAGACCCAATTCCTTCCCAAAACCTGTGGCTCATCCAGGTCTGGAAAGGGTCTGGGAGTGGCTGGAGTTGCCCCTCCTGGAGGTATCTGGGATGTGAGGAAAGAGGACGTTCTTGACCAGACAAAAGCCTCGTCCAGACAGGGAGGCAGGACTCGGAGTGAGAGAGCCAATCAGGCCTGGAGGCATCCTGAGCACTCACGCCTTCAGGGGCTAGTGCTGGCACCAGGGAAAGGCATCTTGGTCCTGTTTGTGAATCTCGTGGGCACCTTGGCAGACTGGCATCCATGCCTCCAGACTGAGGGGCCCCACGTGGGAAGCAAAGAGCCTGTCCTCCCTGCCCTAGGGACTGCAGGCCTCACCCCCAGCCAGGTACCTCTGTGCCTACAGGGTCCCCAGACCCAGGCCCACAGCTTCTGAACGGGAGAGAAGCCTCTCTGAGGATGAGGAATGTCACCCGTCCAGTTTCCCAAGACAGGCCCTGGCCTGAATCTGTGAGGGGGCCAAGAACTGCGAGCTGGGGGTAGGAATGGTGTCCCCATGGTCCCCAGGGTGACCTGGCCAAGCAGAGTCAGACTGCAGACTGGACAGGACTACAAGTCCCATCAGCCCCTGGGATGGAGGCTGCCTAGAGTCTGGGGCCAGGGGTCCAGGGAGGTCCAGGAACCATGCAGTCAGCCGAGCCCGGCCTCTGACCTTCCGCACTTCCTGATCGTTCCTGATCGTGGCCGAAGGAGCACCAGCTCCTGCCAACCTCTTGGCCTGAGGCTGTCCCTGGGGAGGTCATCCCTGCCTGGGCTCACAGGAGTGGCAGCTCCTGGCTTGCCCAAGGTGAGATGGGGAATGGAGCCCTCCCTGCATGCACTCTGAGTCCCGCCCTGTGTCCCCTCAGCCAGCCCCTTCGTATCAAAGGTGAAAGAACTGCGTCTGCAGAGAGATGACTTTGAAATCTTGAAGGTGATCGGCCGAGGAGCCTTTGGGGAGGTGAGCAAAGGGCCCGGGATAGGTGGGGAGGAGGTGTTCACACTGGGCTGGGCTCACCTTGGTCCTGCCTGTGGCCTTAGGTCGCCGTGGTGAGGCAGAGGGACACTGGGCAGATTTTTGCCATGAAAATGCTGCACAAGTGGGAGATGCTGAAGAGGGCTGAGGTCAGTGTGGAGTCTGGGGGGCCCTTGGGCACCCTACAAATGGGTGTGGGGGAGGCGTATGCTGCCAGGGCCTGTGGGGCATGGCGGGGGGTGGGCAAGGCTGCAGACCGGGCAAAGGGTGCTACCCTCAGCAGCCACTGATTTGTTACCTTTCTCACAATAAATCCTTTATTTAATTTTTTTAATTTTTTTTTTTGAGACGGAGTCTCGCTCTGTCTCCCAGGCTGGAGTGCAGTGGCGCGATCTCCACTCACTGCAAGCTCCGCCTCCCGGGTTCACGCCATTCTCCTGCCTCAGCCTCCCGTGTGGCTGGGACTACAGGCGCCCGCCACCGCGCCCAGCTAATTTTTGTATTTTTAATTTTTTAATTTTTTTTTTTTTTCTTGAGACGGAGTCTCGCTGTGTCCACTAGGCTGGAGTGCAGTGGCTCACTGCAACCTTAGCCTCCCAGTTAAAGGAATTCTCCTGCCTCAGCCTCCCGAGTAGCTGGGACTACAGGCATCTGCCACCACATCCGGCTAATTTTTGTGTTTTTAGTGGAGATGAGGTTTTGCTATGTTGGACAGGCTGGTCTCGAACTGCTGACCTCCGGTGATCCTTCTGCCTCGGCCTTCCAAAGTGCTGAGATTACAGGCGTGAACCACCATGCCCAGCCTACAATAAACTCTTTTTTTTAAGACGGAGTCTCACTCTGTCACCCAGGCTGGAATGCAGTGGCGTGATCTCGGCTCACTGCAACCTCCACCTCCTGGGTTCAAGGGATTCTCATGCCTCAGCCTCCCAAGTAGCAGGGATTACAGGCGTGTGCCACGACGCCCAGCTAAGTTTTTTGTATTTTTAGTAGAGATGGTGTTTCACCATGTTGGCCAGGCTGGTCTCCAACTCTTGATGTCAAGTGATCTGCCTGCCTTGACCTCCCAAAATGCTGGGATTACAGGCCTAATAAACCCTTTTGAAAGCAACCAGTCATTCCCATTTTCCATATGGGCATGCTGAAGCCCAGAGCCATAGAGCGTGGGCTTGGGCTCAGTCGCAGCCAGACGGGACAGTAGAGCTATGACCTCCATCCAAGCTCCCAGACTCACAGAGTCCTTCTCCATCCCCTGAGCTGGGAAGGGGGGCATCTTGGGTTCTGATCCCACCCCACCCCTTACTTCCCCAAACCTGCTGCAGACAGCATGTTTCCGGGAGGAGCGGGATGTGCTCGTGAAAGGGGACAGCCGTTGGGTGACCACTCTGCACTATGCCTTCCAAGACGAGGAATACCTGGTGAGGATACTTGGCGGGGCTAGAGGGGAGCATCCTAGGGACACAGGAGAGGGCCCTTGGGGCCAGGGGCACTGGGCCCAAAGACCCCTCTTGGGACCAAGAGACTCCCACTTCCCACCATCTCCTGGGCTTGCTGCCTCCTGCCTGAGCCCTGGCTGGGAACTGGCCAGCCCAGAGCTGCTGGGAGATGCAGCCCTGCCTTCCCAGAGCCCTGTGGGACAGCAGTGAAGTGGCCAGGTGCGCCTTTTCCCCAGGTTTGTTTCTTGTCCCCCACCTCCAGTACCTTGTGATGGACTACTATGCCGGCGGGGACCTCCTGACGCTGCTGAGCCGCTTTGAGGACCGTCTCCCGCCTGAGCTGGCCCAGTTCTACCTGGCTGAGATGGTGCTGGCCATCCACTCACTGCACCAGCTGGGTTATATCCACAGGTGGGGCTCCAACCGCACTGCCCTGCCCAACCCCTGCCAGCTGTGCTGGGGAGAGCTGATGTTGGCTGAGCACTCACCACATGCCAGGCGCTTTGCTGGGTGCCTCATCCATGTGCTTCCTTGGAATCAGAGCCCTCTGTGGCAGGGGCTGCTACTGTCCTCGGCCTACAGTTGAGGGGGTCAGAGCTTAGCACAGGGAAACACCTGTCTCAAGGTGACTCGGCTCGCGGGTGGGCAGGCTGTGGTCTGCACTGGGGAAGTCTGACTCCTGCATCCCCTACAGCACACTCTGCCACCTCCAAGGGTTGTCGCCACACATCCTTTCTACAATCTAGCCGTCTTCCTCCTCCTGGCCTGTGGGATCATCTACACACACACGTTGCTCATCACATGAGCACCTACACACAGGAATGTGTGTGAGCTGGTGCTGGCACACACTGTGCATGTGCACCTGGGCATGTACCTAAATGGTCACTTACACGCAGGTCAAGCCCTTCACTCTCCCTGCCTGCCATCCCCCAGGGACGTCAAGCCAGACAATGTCCTGCTGGATGTGAACGGGCACATTCGCCTGGCTGACTTCGGCTCCTGCCTGCGTCTCAACACCAATGGCATGGTAAGGACCCTGCTCTGAAGTGGGGGCAGGGGATACCAGGCAGGCCAAGCTCTCAGGAAAATGGGAGGCCCCAGGCCTAGTGCAGAGGCATCAGGCTCCCCAGGGAAGGTGGGTGAGGCCCAGGCCCCAGGTAGGCAGCAGTTCAGCCTGGCGGAGTAGGGGTGACAGGGCCATCGTGAGGGGCTAGCAGCCCCAGCCCCCCAGCCAAGTCCAAAGCCGTCCTCATGGCTTCACCACCACCACCCACAGGTGGATTCATCAGTGGCAGTAGGGACGCCGGACTATATCTCCCCTGAGATCCTGCAGGCCATGGAGGAGGGCAAGGGCCACTATGGCCCACAGTGTGACTGGTGGTCGCTTGGAGTCTGCGCCTATGAACTGCTTTTTGGGGAGACGCCCTTCTATGCTGAGTCCTTGGTGGAAACCTACGGCAAGATCATGAACCACGAGGTCTGGACACCAGGCTCTGGGCTTCCAGAGGGGGCAGTGGGACCCCCCGAGTCTGTGTGGTTGGAAATACCTGCAGGGGAGGCTGAGTTCCTGGACACTTGACCCAGCCTGCCCCCTCCCTTGACCCACAGGACCACCTGCAGTTCCCCCCGGACATGCCTGACGTGCCAGCCAGCGCCCAAGACCTGATCCGCCAGTTGCTGTGTCGCCAGGAAGAGCGGCTGGGCCGTGGTGGGCTGGACGACTTCCGGAACCATCCTTTCTTCGAAGGCGTGGACTGGGAGCGGCTGGCGAGCAGCATAGCCCCCTATATTCCTGAGCTGCGGGGGCCCATGGACACCTCCAACTTTGACGTGGATGACGACACCCTCAACCATCCAGTGAGTGGCAAAGGCTACTGCAGGAGGGGAGCTGCCCTACCCTCTTGTTGGCTGGGGGAACCCTCCCTCTGAAGTCCCCTGGGGTGGGCTGGGGATGAGGCTTTCAGACACCAGGGCTTATGATTTATGGACTCCCAGACTGACCCATTCCAGCTGCCATCCCCTGGCCCAGCCTTTTCCAGCCAAACTGGGGTGGGGCAGCATCTCCCACAGGATCCCCATGCTCGCCTGCACTGAGGTGGGCTGTGTCAAGGCAAGGCCGTCTGACCACAGGCATCATCCTATTAACTAGAATCCATATAAGGAAGAAAACTCCCAGCAGCTCCTAGGAGACTTATGGGAGCTGGGGGTCTGTTTGGGTTGGGCCGTGTTACCCCATCGAGTTCCCACCTGAGCAGGAGGAGGTTGCACCTGGTCCCGGGGGCTCCTGGGGCCTCGGGCCTCGGGCCTCGGCCTGTGGACTCTGACTCTCCTTCCCTCTCCCTCTGCAGGGGACCCTGCCACCGCCCTCCCACGGGGCCTTCTCCGGCCACCACTTGCCATTTGTGGGCTTCACCTACACCTCGGGCAGGTGAGGCTAGTCCTCACACACCTGGTGGGAGGCTCAGGGTTGCCTGACCTAGCACACTGGGCACGTAGCCCACTGGGGCCCTGGGAAGGAGGGCAGAAGGGCTCCCCAGTGCCTGCACATGGCAGGTGCTCTAGCCCTCATCCTCGGGGTCCTGGTGAGGCCACACGCAGGTCCCGCGGGGCCCCTTGACCGCACATGGCTCTTATGGTGCCTTCCACGAAGGGCGAGGGTGCGCTGCACCTGGAGCCAGAGGTGTAGGGTTCAAAGGCCGCTACTGGTCCTGGGCCTCATTTGTGGCTCTGTAAAATGGGTGGGATGGACCAGGCACGGTGGCTCATGGCTGTAATCCCAGCACTTTGGGAGGCCGAGGCAGGTGGATCACCTGAGGTCAGGAGTTTGAGACCAGACTGGCCAACGTGGTGAAATCCCGTCTCTACTAAAAATACAAAAATTAGCTGGGTGTGGTGGTGCGCACCTGTAATCCCAGTTACTTGGGAGGCTGAAGCAGGGAGAATCATTTGAACCCGGGAGGCAGAGGTTGCAGTGAGCTGAGATCGTGCCATTGCACTCCAGCCTGGGTGACAGAGCGACACTGTCTCAAAAAAAAAAAAAAAAAAAAAGGGTGGGATGATCTCCACCTACGCCTATTCGAGGGGCTGGCCTGAGACCGCAGTGAGGTCTTGGTGCAGTGTGCTCTGAGGTGGAAGGAAATGGGTCCGACCCCCACTCCTCGGGGCCAGCTGGGCCACCGTCACCACATCCTGTCCTCGACAGCCCTTGGGAGAGGCCCCGTCACCACCATCTTCCCCGGGGGAAACTGAGGCTAAAATACATTGGGTTCGAAGTGACACAGCTTGTAAGGGCCAGGACGAGGGCTTAAACCTGGGCCTGGGGACTGGGAGCCTGTGCCCTGAAGCCGCTGCCCTGGGCTGCCACCCGTGGAATCAGCCTGGGGTCTCCCAAGGGCAGGGTCTGTTCTGGCTGTTTCACAATGAATGAGTGATTCGATGCAGGAGGATGAAGGAGACTCTGTCGGGTGAGGTTTCTACCAACACGCGTGGCCCCTGTCCCCCCACAGTCACAGTCCTGAGAGCAGCTCTGAGGCCTGGGCTGCCCTGGAGCGGAAGCTCCGGTGTCTGGAGCAGGAGAAGGTGGAGCTGAGCAGGAAGCACCAAGGTACAGGGAGCGGCTGGGCCGGGCCTGGGTGTGCTGGCCCTAGGGGCTGCTGCTGCGAGAGTGGACTCACCTGTGGGTACCACGTCCCCTGCAGAGGCCCTGCATGCCCCCACTGACCATCGGGAGCTGGAGCAGCTACGGAAGGAAGTGCAGACTCTACAGGAGAGGCTGTCAGGTATCCCTTCCACCCACCCCCACCGGGGCTGAGTCCCACCTGGGCTCAGGTCCTGCCCCTGCCCTGGACACGTTGTATGATCCTGGGGGAGCATTTTGCACTGTCTGAGCCTGTGTATGGAAAACAAACCAAGGAGACTCGCTCCCGGGGTGAGAGGCTGGGGCCGTCAGCACTTGAGGTCTCAGTGACTCTTCCCGGCAGAGCTGCTGAGGGACAAGGCCTCCTTGTCCCAGCTGGATGGGCCCACACCTGGTAGCCCAGGTCAGGACAGTGACCTGCGGCAGGAACTTGACCGGCTTCACCAGGTGAGGGTTGGGTGAGGTGGGTGAGTGGCCCTGGGCTCCGTGGATGGTTCATGCCTGACTTTGGGCCTTGTCCTTCCCCGCTCCCTCCCCTGTCTCCTCAGGAGCTGGCCGAGGGTCGGGCAGGGCTGCAGGCTCAGGAGCAGGAGCTCTGCAAGGCCCAGGGGCAGCAGGACAAGCTGCTTCAGAGGCTGCAGGAGGCCCAGGAGAGAGAGGCGGCCACAGCTATCCAGACCCAGGCCCTGAGCTCCCAGCTGGAGGAAGCCTGGGCTGCCCAGAGGGAGGTGGGTGACCAGGGTGGGAAGGGACAGCATCTGGGCCCTGCCCCCAGTGTGGCTGGAGGGAGCATGGGGAGCTTGGTGGGAGATGCTGCCCCCTAGTTGTAGCTGGCAGAGGCTGGGCCCAGGGGACAGTGGCTGGGATGGGGCAATCTGGGAGTCCATGCCTCCTCACGTCCACTGTGGCTGGCAGAGTCGGGAGTTCGTGGCAAGGTGGGCAGAGGGGCTGCCAAGGGCAGAGTTGGCACTGGCCTGCCTCTGCACCCCTCACAGCTGGAGGCCCAGGTGTCCTCCCTGAGCCGGCAGGTGATGCAGCTGCAGGGACAGTGGGAGCAACGCCTTGAGGAGTCTTCCCAGGCCAAGGTAGTCAAGTCCTCCCCCCTTGGCAAGAGGCGCTTCCCCACCAGTCTGACCCCACTCAGAGCCTCAGGGCCAGGCCTGTGTCCCGGGTGGGTGGGCCATGGCATCTTGGGTCTCTGCCCTGACCCCCTCCATGTCCCCAAGACCATCCACACAGCCTCTGAGACCAACGGGATGGGACCCCCCGAGGGTGGGCCTCAGGAGGCCCAACTGAGGAAGGAGGTGGCCGCCCTGCGAGAGCAGCTGGAGCAGGCCCACAGCCACAGGTGAGCCAGGCAGCTGGTGGCAGGGAGGGGCCGGACCCGGCCTGGGCGGGGAGTCATGGCCTTGGCCTTCTCCTCCCCAGGCCGAGTGGTAAGGAGGAGGCTCTGTGCCAGCTGCAGGAGGAAAACCGGAGGCTGAGCCGGGAGCAGGAGCGGGTGAGCAGGGGGACGGACGGAGGGCACGACAGATGGACAAGGCAATGGGGAGCCAGTGAGCAGGGTGGACATGGAAGGGGCTTGGGGTGCTGCGGTGCCTATGGGGAGACAGCAGTCCCAGGACTGCTGGGGCCTGGGGCTGACCTTTCCTCTGGCCGGCCCCAGCTGGAAGCAGAGCTGGCCCAGGAGCAGGAGAGCAAGCAGCGGCTGGAGGGTGAGCGACGGGAGACGGAGAGCAACTGGGAGGCCCAGCTCGCCGACATCCTCAGCTGGTGGGTGCCGGGGGTGGGTCGGGGTGGGGAATGCAGGCGAGACTGAGGGCCCAGCCCATGACCCTGAGCCCCTTCCCAATCAGGGTGAACGATGAGAAGGTCTCAAGAGGCTACCTGCAGGCCCTGGCCACCAAGATGGCAGAGGAGCTGGAGTCGTTGAGGAACGTGGGCACCCAGACGCTCCCTGCCCGGCCACTGGTGAGCCCCAGAGATGCCCTTGGGGGCTGGCTTAGGCAAGTCACTGACCTTCCGTGAGCCTCAGGATCCCTGCTACTGAGGGTCACTACTGGAGGTGGGGACACTGAGCTCACAAGAAATAGTGGCTTCCCTGAGCTCAGCGTGGGTCAGTGGCTGAGCTGGAGCTTTGAGCCTGGCCGGGTGGCATGGGTAGCAGGATGCTCTGGTAGGAGGGGGTCCCTGAGGCAGCCAGGCCTAGAAACCATCTTATACGGGTGCTCCATGGCCACCAGGACCACCAGTGGAAGGCGCGGCGACTGCAGAAAATGGAGGCCTCGGCTAGGCTGGAGCTGCAGTCAGCGCTGGAGGCTGAGATCCGTGCCAAGCAGGGCCTGCAGGAGCGGCTGACGCAGGTGCAGGAGGCCCAGCTGCAGGCTGAGCGGTGAGGCTAGGAGCAGGCGCTGGGGGCCAGGGCCCGCACAAAGGCTGGTGGTGAGCCCTTGCTGTTCTCCCCAGCCATCTGCAGGAGGCCGAGAAGCAGAGCCAGGCCCTGCAGCAGGAGCTCACCATGTTGCGGGAGGAGCTGCGGGCCCGAGGGCCAGGGGGTGAGTGGCTGCCGACTGCTTGCCCCGGATCCAGGCTCCCCCATGGCCTCCCGCTTGCCAAGGGGTCTCCATGATGGCCTGGCAGGGTGGTGGAGACAGGAGTCTGTTCCTGGACTCTGCCACTTACTCCATCATCTGTGACCAGCACTTCTTGAGTGCCTGCTCTGCCCAGCCCTGCCCCACGCCTGTGGTCATTTCCCATTTTACTGAGGTGGGAACTGAGGCCCCTCCTGGCCCCTAGTTCCTCAGGCCAGGGACCCCAGGCCGGTGACCTACCCTCTCTTTGCAGACACCAAGCCCTCAAACTCCTTGATTCCCTTCCTGTCCTTCCGGAGCTCAGAGGTAAGGACCAGGCTGAGGGGCTTGTTGGGGAGGAGTCCTGGGAGAGGCACAGGGACCTTGACTTTGCTCCTCTCTCTCCCATCCGCAGAAGGATTCTGCCAAGGACCCTGGCATCTCAGGAGAGGCCACAAGGCATGGAGGGGAGCCAGAGCTGAGGCCAGAGGGCCGACGCAGCTTGCGCATGGGGGTGAGGACAGGCGGGTCCATAGTAGGGGGGCTGGGCGCCGCCCCGGCCCGTCTCACTTGCTCCCCCGCCCTCCTGCAGGCTGTGTTCCCCAGAGCGCCCACTGCCAACACAGCCTCTACAGAAGCTCTTCCTGCTAAGGTCAGTGCCCAGAGGGAAGCGGGGTGGGGGCACCAAGCAGTTCTGCTAGGCTGAATGGGCCCTGAGGGGACACTCCATGTGCATTGTAGCCAGCAGGCACAATTGGGGTGGAGGTGGTAGCAATGAGCTTGCCTGCTGCCATAGATTGGCTGGGACTCAGAGGTCACTGCCGCCTGGCTCAGCCCTTTGTCTCGCCTGACCCCTCAGGGATGGGGCATGGGGTCTTGGAAGGCCTTGGGTAATGGCTGTCCCCCTCCCCAGCCCGGCTCACACACCCTGCGCCCTCGGAGCTTCCCATCCCCGACCAAGTGTCTCCGCTGTACCTCGCTGATGCTGGGCCTGGGCCGCCAGGGCCTGGGTTGTGATGGTGAGAGTCCCCACCCCACCGCACACCCACCCACTATGCTCCAGCCACGGTCCCAGGTGTGTGGCCCTGGCACACCCAGGCTGTTTCTCCCATCCCAGGGTCACTGGCACCTGCTGGTCAAATTTCCTCCTGCTTAGCTCTGTTCCTTTTCTCACTTGATGAGGAATTGGGGACAGTTCAGGTGCCACTGTGGCTTCAGGGAAGCTGGCTCTGGACATGCCCCAGTCCTGGTTTGGGGCTGTCCCCTCCCAGCCTCACCTCATCCACCTTCTCCACTTTCCCCACAGCCTGCGGCTACTTTTGTCACACAACCTGTGCCCCACAAGCCCCACCCTGCCCCGTGCCCCCTGACCTCCTCCGCACAGCCCTGGGAGTACACCCCGAAACGGGCACAGGCACTGCCTATGAGGGCTTCCTGTCGGTGAGTGGGGGCCGAGGGAGGGGAGGACGGGCATGGGGGGCTGAGGGCCTCTGCAGTCCTCCTATGCTTGCCTTTCCGCCAGGTGCCGCGGCCCTCAGGCGTCCGGCGGGGCTGGCAGCGGGTGTTTGCTGCCCTGAGTGACTCGCGCCTGCTGCTGTTTGACGCCCCTGACCCGAGGCTCAGCCCGCCCAGCGGGGCCCTCCTGCAGGTCCTGGATCTGAGGTGGGTGCTGGGCAGTGGCATGGGGTAAGGGACTAGTGGTGAGGCGGGCAGTCAGGAACAGGGAGACCTCTGACCTGTTCTGTGAACCTCCCAGGGACCCCCAGTTCTCGGCTACTCCCGTTCTGGCCTCTGATGTCATCCATGCCCAATCCAGGGACTTGCCACGCATCTTTAGGGTGAGTGCCTGGGATGAGATGGAGCAGCCGCCATCCACCTCCCCATGCTGTTCCCACTCTGGCCACTGTCCGCCCACTCCATACTGTCCTCTTGGGCCAGCCCACAACCACAACATGCTTTCCACGCAAGCATCTGGCTGGGTCTTACCTCATTTCGGATCCACGGTGGCTTCCCGTCGTCTGCGGGGTGCTCCTGACCTAGCCCTTGAGGCCCCAAGGATCTGGCCCTGCAGGCCTCCCCAGCCCTCTCCCTGGCACCTCTCTGCTCTGGCCACACCTTGCTCTCTCCAGTTCTGAGGGTGCCCCGTGCCTGTGTGCACCACATTCTCGGTCCTTCACGTGTGTCTTTGCACAGAATTGCCGGCCCTGCACTGGCGCCCAGCTCCTAAACTTGACTACTCCTGGTTAGTTACTCGTCCCTCAGGCTCCAGCAGAAATGTCTGGTCCCCTGGGAAGTCATCCTTCACCTCCTGGCCCGAGTTTGGGGCCCTCTGTGTTCCCACTAGGCCTGTCCTTGCCCCATTATGGCGCTGGTCGCAGGGCTCTGGAGTTGTCTGTATGCCTGTCCGGCCTACTCCCTGCTGCTGATAGTGCACGCTAGGCCCCCGGGGCACAGCGGCTGCTGGAGGCAGGAAGGGAGGGAGGACAGATGGCTCTGGCCCACAGCCCTTCAGCTTGGGTCCTTGCCCACAGGTGACGACCTCCCAGCTGGCAGTGCCGCCTACTACGTGCACTGTGCTGCTGCTGGCGGAGAGCGAGGGGGAGCGGGAGCGCTGGCTGCAGGTGCTGGGTGAGCTGCAGCGGCTGCTGCTGGACGCACGGCCAAGACCCCGGCCCGTGTACACACTCAAGGAGGCCTACGACAATGGGCTGCCGCTGCTGCCCCACACGCTCTGTGCTGCCATCCTCGGTGAGCTGGTGGAGGGGACTGGAGGGAGCAGTCCAGGCCTGCAGGGGTGCTGGTGTCTAGGAACAGTCCCAAGGGCCACCGCCACTACCCATTCCCTGCAGCCACGAGACACAGACTGCCTTGCACTACATATGTGCTCCAGCCCCCTGTGTGCATGGCTGGGCCCCCAGGTAGCCTGGCTTATCCCCACTCCATTTCACTGTGCCTCAGTTTCTGCTTTTTCCAAAAGAATCTCAAGCGAGTGGAAGGAACAAAAGCTTTTTTTTTTTTCATTTTTTTTTTGAGACAGTCTCGCTCTGTTGCCCAGGCTGGAGTGCAGCAGTACAAGCTCAGCTCACTGCAACCTCCGCCTCCCGGATGCAAGCGATTCTCCTGTCTCAGCCTCCACAGTAGCTGGGATTACAGGCATGTGCCACCTTGCCTGGCTACTTTTTGTATTTTTAGTAGAGACGGGGTTTCACAATGTTGGCCAGGCTGGTCTCGAACTCCTGACCTCAGGTGATCCACCTGCCTTGGCCTCCCAAGGTGTTGGGATTATAGGCATGGGCCACCATGCCCAGCTGGAACAAAGGCTTTAAAAAGAGAGAAATGAGGGTTCAGTCCTGGCTGTCTCACTACAAGCTAGGGGACTGGGGGACTGCTGTAGAACACCCAGAGCCTCATAATATCTCCTGGGTGGAGCTGCCAAGAGCTTCACTTGTGCTCAGCCTTGAACCTGGGGCTCAGCAGGGCTCTTCTGTAACTGAGGCTGGGAAAGAGGCATGAAACAGAGCTCCTCGGCGTCCCCCGGCAGCCGAGGCCCTGAGCCAGCACCCGCTCTCAGGGCGGGAGCCACAGGAGAGGTTGTGTGGGTCCCTGGAGCAGTCAGGAACCAGAGGGGAGGGGGTTTTTTGAGCAAGGGGCTCTGCTGAACCCTCCCGCTTCCTCGCTTCCTCAGAGCCACTCTGAGAAAGTACCATCGTTGTCCCCAGTTTACATAAGGCGAGAAACCAAGGCTCTGAGAGGTGACCTGACTTACCTGAAATCCCACAGCTCAAGGTGATGGGCCTCACCCCAACCCCTCTGAAAGAGCCTGTCCAGACTGGGAGAGAAGGGTCAGTGAGGCAGGGACAGCGGGATTATCGCCACCCCCATTTCCTCAAGAGAAACAGGCACAGCAAGGCAAGTGGACTGCACACTCTCCGTGTCATTGAGTGGGCTGCTGACCTCTGACCCTCTCCCTCCCTCTACCAGACCAGGATCGACTTGCGCTTGGCACCGAGGAGGGGCTCTTTGTCATCCATCTGCACAGCAATGGTACCCATCAAGGCTGGGCTAGGGTGGGCGTGGGCAGGGGCAGCCCCAGCAGGCCGAGGAGGATGGGGACGGGTCACTCTTCAACCACCTGCCAGTGACCCTCTCCCCTCGCCAACCCTGCAGACATCTTCCAGGTGGGGGAGTGCCGGCGCGTGCAGCAGCTGGCCTTGAGCCCCAGCGCAGGCCTGCTGGTTGTGCTGTGTGGCCGCGGCCCCAGTGTGCGTCTCTTTGCCCTGGCGGAGCTGGAGAACATAGAGGTAGCAGGTGCCAAGATCCCCGAGTCTCGAGGCTGCCAGGCACTGGCAGCTGGAAGCATCCTGCAGGCCCGCACCCCAGTGCTCTGTGTAGCCGTCAAGCGCCAGGTGCTCTGCTACCAGCTGGGCCCGGGCCCTGGGCCCTGGCAGCGCCGTATCCGTGAGCTGCAGGCACCCGCCACTGTGCAGAGCCTGGAGCTGCTGGGTGACCGGCTATGTGTGGGCGCTGCCGGTGGCTTTGCGCTCTACCCGCTGCTCAATGAGGCTGCGCCATTGGCGTTGGGGGCCGGTTTGGTGCCTGAGGAGCTGCCACCATCCCGCGGGGGCCTGGGTGAGGCACTGGGTGCCGTGGAGCTTAGTCTCAGCGAGTTCCTGCTACTCTTCACCACTGCTGGCATCTACGTGGATGGCGCAGGCCGCAAGTCTCGTGGCCATGAGCTGTTGTGGCCAGCAGCGCCCATGGGCTGGGGTAAGGCACCTTCAGTGTGTGGGTGAAGACAAGGTCCTGCCTCAACTCATGAGCCTGGCATTGGAGGCCTTTGGTGCCAGTTTGCATCCTCCAGCCCAACACCACCCTGTCCTGGCCTCCGTGGCTTGCAGGGGACCTTCCTTTTCCATGCTGAGCTCATGCTCCTCTCCTGCCTGGGCCGCTCTCCTTTCGTTTGTATCCAGCAAACTTTTTTTTTTTTTTCTTTTGAGACAGGGTCTCCCTCTGTCACCAGGCTGGAGTACGGTGGCACAATCTCGACTCACTGCCACCTCCGCCTCCTGGGGTCAAGTGATCCTCCCACCTCAACCTCCCGAGTAACTGGGGGCACAGGTGTGTGCCACCACGTCTGGCTAATTTTTGTTTTGTTTGAGACAGAGGAGTCTTACTCTGTCACCAGGCTGGAGTGCAGTGGTGTGATCTTGGCTCACTGCAGTCTCCACCTCCCAGGTTCAGGCAGTTCTCCTGCCTCAGCCTCCCTAGTAGCTGAGACTACAGGCACCCGCCACCATACCCAGCTAATTTTTGTATTTTTAGTGGAGACAGGGTCTCACCGTGTTGGCCAGGCTGGTCTCGAACTCCTGACCTCGTGATCTGCCTGCCTTAGCCTCCCAAAGTGCTGGGATTACAGGCGTGAGCCACTGCGCCTGGCCTAATTTTTGTATTTTTTCGTAGAGGCAGGGTTTTGCCATATTGCCCAGGCTGGGAGTCTCAAACTCCTGGACTCAAGCAATCCCCCTGCCCGGCCTCCCAAAGTCCTGGGATTACAGGTGTGAGCCACCAACCCTGGCCTGTACCTGGCAAACTCTTAACTAGGTCCAGCCCCAGTGTCAGCTCAGGGCCTGGAGCTGGTAGGCGCTCCAAAGATGGCCGCTGCAATTGCTGTGGTCACCGTTGCCTTCATGCTCCCCGCCCTGCCTCCCCATCATTGGTCCTTTCCTTCTCTTTGCCCCACTACCTCTCCATCCAGACCTTCGTCATGGCTCTCGTCACCTCCACTTCATGACTGGCTTGGTGCACTGGGGTCCCACAGAATGGGCCGGGGCTGGTTTCCTCATCCACATCAAGCACCCAGCCCAGGCTGGCACACTCCAGGGGCGACGGGTTGGGAGGAATGGGTGGAATAGTGAATGAATGAATGAATGAGGCGGTGGGGCAGTCTGGTGCATGCACAAGTAACTAGCATGATGGGTAAGGGCTGGAAGAGAGGGGCAGAGTGTCCTTGGTGAGCAATGGCTGTCTGGGGTGGGGCCTGCGGGTTGGGTGCTGCATACCACCCAAGCTGCCCAGGGCCAAATCGCAGCTCTCAGGACCAGCTGGGTGACCTGACCTTGACCATCACATGGCTCCAGGGGTTCCATTCCCTCCTCTGGAAATTAGGGGTTATAACAATAGTACCTGCTCGGAGTTGTTAAAAAATTAAGGGAGGAAAAGCATGTCGTGTTTAGAACTGAGCCAGGCATGTGGTGGGTGGTCCAGGGTTATCTCTGATTTGATGTGGAGGCTGGGCGGGGCGACAGGGAGTCTTCAGAGGAAGGACCTTAGCGTGGGGTGTGGTAGTTACTGTGCTGCGGCAGGGGACAGGGTGTTCCCTGTGAAACGGGGGGAAACAGCTCAGAGGTGCATGGCGTGCCTGCAGGGTACGCGGCCCCCTACCTGACAGTGTTCAGCGAGAACTCCATCGATGTGTTTGACGTGAGGAGGGCAGAATGGGTGCAGACCGTGCCGCTCAAGAAGGTGAGGGTCCGCCAGAGCCCTGGGGCAGCACCGGGGTGGGGGCGTGGCCTGACCTCTGTGCCTGCTGCCTCAGGTGCGGCCCCTCAATCCAGAGGGCTCCCTATTCCTCTACGGTACCGAGAAGGTCCGCCTGACCTACCTCAGGAACCAGCTGGCAGGTGAGGGAGTTCGCGTGTACGGGTGTGTGCGTTCACCAGTGCGCACGTGTGGCTGTGTGGCCGTGAACGCCAGCTGACTGAGCCCCGGGAACGTGTGAGCACAGCCCAGCTCTCCGCTTCTCCCACAGAGAAGGACGAGTTCGACATCCCGGACCTCACCGACAACAGCCGGCGCCAGCTGTTCCGCACCAAGAGCAAGCGCCGCTTCTTTTTCCGCGTGTCGGAGGAGCAGCAGAAGCAGCAGCGCAGGTGCGCGTGCACGACGCGGGGGTTGAGGCTGGGCGGGGTGAAGGGAGGGTGGAGCTTGGCCACCAACTCCCTACGCCTTCTCCTCCCGCAGGGAGATGCTAAAGGACCCCTTTGTGCGCTCCAAGCTCATCTCACCGCCTACCAACTTCAACCACCTGGTACACGTGGGCCCTGCCAACGGGCGGCCCGGCGCCAGGGACACGTCCCGGGTTAGTCCTCTGGAGCCAATCACAAGCTACTCTGGTGAGGCTGAGCCAATCACCGGCCTCTGGTGAGCTCTAGCCAATCACAGGCCTTTGTAATTACCTGGGCCCCTGAGGCCTGGGACTTACCCTTCTGCTACCTTCTGGATGTACTTAAGTACATCCAGGCTGGGGGCCCAGTGGCATTCATTTGTCCTGGTCTGTTGTGCCTTGGGCCTCTTGGCCTCCGTGTGCCTCCTGGTCCCAGCCCCTCCGCACTGTCAACCAACAGGCTCTGGAAGAGAAGGGCCGAGTTTCTCGCGGCTCCTCTGGCCCACAGCGGCCCCACAGCTTCTCCGAGGCGTTGCGGCGCCCAGCCTCCATGGGCAGCGAAGGCCTCGGTGGAGACGCAGACCCCAGTAAGGACAGTCCCTCAGCCTCCAGTGTGCTACCTCCCACCCCAAGTTTACACCCTCTTTGGATCCCTCAAATCTGATCTTGGTATTTTTGTCTCCTCATCTGCTGGAGCAGTGAAGAGGAAACCTTGGACATCCCTGTCCAGCGAGTCTGTGTCCTGCCCCCAGGGATCGCTGAGCCCTGCAACCTCCCTAATGCAGGTGAGCGGGTCCGGGAGGCTTGTCCGTCCCCTATTCAAACGTCAGGCATTTCTCTTTTGTGCTAGGCCTTGCTCAGGGACCTAGGCTAGGGAACAAGCTGAGCCCATCCCTGTCCTCCATTTTCTTACCTGTCTCACCCCACCAGTGGGCACCAGCAGGATCCTGGAGGCAGGCCAGCTTAGGTGGGAATCTTGGCTTTGACTTTTCCAGCTGTGTGGCTCTGGGCAAAGTGCCCAACCTCCCTAATCTTGTCTCACCTGTAAAATGATGTGGTTCCTGGGAGGCCTGGATGAGCTGATAATACCTGCGGAGGGCTCAGCATAGCACCTGGCATGGGGAAGGTGCCACAGAAGGGGAGCTCTTGGGATTCTTTTTTTTTTTTTTTTCCCAGACGGAGTCTCACTCTTTTCACCCAGGCTGGAGTGCAGTGGCACAGTCTTGGTCACTGCAACCCCCACCTCCCAGGTTCAGCGATTCTCCTACCTGTTCCTCCCAAGTGCT